AAAAAAAAATTCTTTGCGGCCCGGTAGAGAGTGCTCCGCGGCCCGGTACCGGTCCGCGGCCCGGTGGTTGAGGACCCCTGGTCTAAGAGGTTTTTCTCTCTCTTTTATTACTCTTCTGAGGATTCTTAAGATAGTATGATGTCTTGTTTTGGAAACAAACGAACAAACAAACAGTTCTAATTTTAAAACTTGTAATGTTGATGCCCTTGATCAGATGGCAAATCTCAACAAATAGGTTTGATTGAAACTTTTGAAACAATGTTACAGATATACGGGAAGGAATGAAATGGGAAGGAAATATCAACCAAAGTTTTTCGTAACAGAACTTTTTAATTGCAATCTCTAGCATTGTTGTAATGCCTTGCATAAATAGAGCCAGAATTATTTTTTCTACATTTGTGTTCTTTCTCTCCCCCTTCTAAGTTGCATCCATGGTATGGCTACACATTATGATGTAGCTTTCCTGATAAAATGAGAAACAAAAGAGGTATTTTGTAGAAGTAGAAGAAAGGGAACTGGGTCTCACTAGATCTATTGAGACGAAATTCCTATATGGCTTATATATTATGTGCTAAAATTACTATTATTTTTTATGATTTTGCCAGTATCCTGCAGAAATCCGAAAGTATGACTATGATCCGAATTTTGCAATAAGAGGGCTTCATTATGATGTGCATCGGGTAGGTATGGATTGTTTATTTGGAACTTCAATGGTTATTACCTGTTTTCATTTCTAAGAAGTCTGAAATAGTTGCGAGATAGAAATTAACATGCCTACTTTTCAAATTTGAAATAATATTTATTGAAATGGTATTAGAAATTAGATCTTATGTATTAGACCCAAGGTTCCTTACAGTCTAATATTGATCAATTATGTGGCATCAAATTGTTTTTGATTCCTAGCAACCACATAGATAACTTTTCTCCATGATGGTCTGTCCCTCACCTATTCTTTCAAGTGTCTCAATGGTGCACTCATCACCATAATCAGTCCATCCACTTTGCTGCTGGTCATCCTCTTCTTCTCTTTCCCTCCACCTTTCCCAACATTAGAGCCTTTTCTACAGCTGGGTCTTAATATAATGTGTCCAAAGTGGGATAATTTGAGCCTGGTCATCTTTGCTTTGAGTGAGAACTGTGGGCTGATTTGCTCAGCTTGGTACTTTCCGCTGTCCATGGTATTCTCACTCTTTTCCAATATAAAATTTACCTTAACACACACACACAGACACAAATATTATCAGATAAACAATTACTACGAAAGGCTTAAGGTCTGCATAAGATTTTCTCAGATTACAAATCATCCAGCCTTTTCTGGCTCCAGAGGGAATGACAGTTCAGCAGATTGCATGGTTACTTTTTGACTCAAGTGTTACTGCAGATACACAATTTTGCATCCTGTTCAGGTTCAGGAAGTGAAAAGGTGCAGGAGTCCTTACTCCATTGTCCCTAGTTGAAATCTTTCTTTGTTTTTGAGGCTTCACAGGAAAAGGAAATTGGCTTTAAAATGGCAGAAGAACATTTTTGCTATCTGTCAATCTCAGTTGCTTACTCTAGTAGAGAAATTTGTATCAATCTTTATTAGGATCATATAACGTAAGGGATGTGGAAAGGATATAGCCAATAAAAAAATTTAAAAGGAAGCGTAGGAACAAAAGGTATAAAAAGGTATGAGGGGGACATAAAAGTTAATCTTTGGACTAAGATGAAGTATAATTTTAAAAAAACCTTGTTTTCTCCTTTTGTCTGTCACAGTTGTATATAATATAATCCCCTCCATTGTCTTCCTATATCTAATCAAATAATAAAATATCTAATTTTAGATATGTAATGGGGGGAAAAGGGCTGCTCACAACCAAACTCTGTCTTTCACAATAAAAAAAGTGAAATTGACAGTTCTCTTTCTTCATGCTCCAAAATCTGCTTGCCAAACATAATTGGAGCACATTTAATATTTCATTTTAAATCTCTGTAATTCATAACAGGGTTGTGGTTACCAGGATCAAATGGAGTTTCCTTTTGTCAACTGAACTCAAGAATGGCCCCCTTGGATTCTAAATGAAGATGAATAACCATGTAAATGAAAATTGTTGAATATATCCATGGGTCATTTATCTTCCTCTGCCTCTACATTTTCTATAAAATTAGCAAAGACATTTATCAATGAATATTAGCCCTGGTGGGTTGCTGTTCTAAGATTTCTGATCATAATATTTAATTGGAGACACTGATAAACTAAAGTATATCTTTAAAACACATAGTAATAAAGGCAAAAAAGTTTCTCTGAAATTTAATCAAAACTGTTTAGGAAGATTTATAAGTTTAGCCTGTAATTTTTCTTGCTTTAAAGGCATTATTAATGAAGATTGATGCTTTTCACTACATTCAACTGGGAGCTGTGTACAGGTGAGTCAGGAAGCATTTTTTTTTCCTCTGGGCACCTGTAATTCACTATATTAGCAATATATGAGTAGAATGAACTGCCTTGTTTGACTATCATCAAATAGTCATCAACCGTGTCCTCTATGCAGCACTTTGACTTTCACTTTGTTCTATGTTCTGCATTAATGGTGTAGCTATTCTTTAACCATTCTTCCCATTACTGCCATGAAATACAGATTGTAGTACTTTTAAAAGACAGGACTTGAAAGTCAAATTTAAATATATGTTTAAGCGTTTACCAGTAGAAAAGAAAGAGCAACAGATGGCTGGGCTATCTCTTAAGAATAACCATAATTATTAAACTGATTCTCTGCTGCCATAAAGGTCTGAGTGAGACAATGTTTTTTGGGCCGAACTAAGTCAGATCTATTCTTCAGCTGGATTAGCTGACTAATGTTCTTGCTTCCAGCTGTTAAACCATACTGGCAGGCTGCTAAAAATATTCCATTGTTTGCAATCAGTGTTGCTTACAAGACTGATTCTAAAGGTTTTTCAGAATGAATCACCATTCTGTTTGCACTCAACAAAAATTCAGATATAAGCATAATATTAATTCTGCAAACAGTCTTTTTGATTATCCAGTCTGTACAATTTCTGCAAATGTTGAAAAACTCAGTTGCATCTCTCTGAAACAATTGTCTTCTATTAGGCTGCATTTCTGCATTTTAAAAATTGGGATATACCTGAACTATTGCACTTACTAAACAAAAATTAGTGGCATGCTACAATGCTAGAGATTTTTTTTATTATAAAGATATTTTATATTCAATCTGAAGTGTTTTAAGATAAAAGGTTTTAACCTAGAAAATATTTGACCCAAAATGTTTGGACTTTGCCTCCTAATTAGTATGGTCTTTGGAGATTTAGAGGAATCAAAGAGCCACAAGATGGAAAATGCTAACTGAAAAAGCTGTTGTAGCATTTAAAACTTAATATTTTGAACTCTGTTACTTGGAAGTAAACCTATTGAATTCACAAGTGCTTAGTGATATTTAAATATATTTTGCAGTGCACTGCCTTCAGTCTTTGAGCAGTTACTCATCCAGGATACCTTACTAGGGAGAAGATTAATTCTCCTTTGTCACTTTGTAATGACCTTTGAAAAACCCCTGAATTAAATAGGCTTGGGGGTACTTTGCAGGCTGAATGTCATCTGCAATACACTTTGTTGAAATTGAAACCCTTAATTTAACAAATTGTCATGTCTTCAAACACTTGTGGCTAATTTTTGTCATGAAACAAAGGCTGCAAAGTGCATTAAGTCTTTGGATAGGCTTAATACACCTAGAATAATATTAGAGAATGGGAGAGGGGAAGCAAAATGATGAGAAATTCTCCCAAATGTGGAAACTTTTATTTCCACAACTTCATCATGTTCTTGTCCTGCTTTGTCTCCTCCAAGTATCAAAAAGTTGTCACTGTTATAATCTTAATTACATTTTACATTTCTGATGCTTCATCTTAATCTAACATCTGGGAAAAGCATTTGTACCTTCCAGTATTATGCTACTACTGAGGATAATAAGAGTAAATTATTTTATTTAATATATTTTGGACTGTTTCCTAAATAAAAGCATCTCAAAGGAGATTGCATATTATTAACTAATCAACAAAAGCAACAAATTTAAAATATTAACAATTTAAAAGTAGGGAAAAGGAAAACAGTTGCAGAATCAGAAACTGTTTCTCTTGCATTCTCACCTAAGCGAAGAGGGAAGAAACCATAGGTTTCTCACATATTTCATGAAACATTTCATGAAACAGATCATGTTATGAAAAAGAAAGCTCACCTGTGAACTATGACAAGATATTTCTGTTCAAGGATCATGAAGTAGGGCTTTCCCTGATGTTCTCGAGAATCAGCAATTACTGAGCTTTGCTTTGATAATTTATCTCAATTAGCAATTAGAGAATTTAGAATTGTTCAGACTACTAATATTTTGCTTATGACAGGCTAGAAAATGTTACGTATACCTGTTAATTTGTAAAACCTGCTTGGCTTTTGCATTGATGTTACTGCTGTTATTGCCCCAGAGGATTGAGTGTTGTACCAGATGAAGAAGTCATTGCTATGTATGATGGTTCCCATGTTCCCTTGGAACAAATGAGCGACTTCTATGGAAAGGTAAAACTTTTTTTTGGTGCTTTTAATGTGTTTTGTCATTCCCTTTCCCTTTTATATTAGTTTGCATCTTAATGTATGATGGTGAAACTTAACAAATGTATTACAAAAAAAAGAAAATAAAACTATATGAGTCATTTTCTGTTACATGGAAATTTGAATTCATATAGATGTGTTTTTCTTCTGCATCTTTTGTAGAATACTAACTTATAGCTAGGCATCTCATTACTTCTGTTTTTCTGCATGGCAAAAATCCCTTCCAGACAAGATTTTTAAGATTTCAAAATGTAAAGCAGTAATCTAAAGCAGGGGTCTCCAACCTTGGGCCCTTGAAGCCTGG